TAGCGTTCAGGGTTTTCGGCGTGAATCAACTTACTGTGGCGAGTCGATTATGACTCGCTTCGGGCAAAACGAGTGGGTCACGTTTGGTGTTTGCGGTTTCCCCTTGGAGCGTTCTCGTAAACACAAACGACGACGCAATGAGCCGGCTGGGACCGATAATGCTTTAAGTAATCAACAGCACGATGTTGCCTGCCGACGGGGTAGTTGAACAGCGTTATCACGAGACTCTCTAATGCTATTGGGTTATTATTCATGATAGGAAAACGAGGGATAGGTAGTTTCGCTACGTTTTTCCCTTGCCGCCGAGAAGCGGTCGTTCTACGAAGAGAATCGCAGAGATTTATTATCTTACATGGAGATATGATAACGTTAAGAAGATACTTTTGTAGGCCACTCAAATTATAACTCTAGCTCCGGTTACTTCGTAATAATAGATTTTAATGTAATAACGTTATTAAATCTTCTTTTTTATTTCATTTTTTTGATATATTTATAGTTTAATTATTTAATGTAGGTAGCATGTTCGTGCTGATTCTCATTTATAATTTATGTTTGGGATTATATGATTTCAGAAGCGTGTAATAAAGAATATAAGAACAAATGAAAGTAAATGTTTTGCCATTAAAGTAATTAAAATATATTCAACAATATTTGTTATTAATAAAATATCTCGAATTTATGGTAATCCAAAGTTGAGGATTAAACATTTCGCTATATCATTTTATCGAGAGAAATAATATGATACTGAACATGCATTATAGATATTGGATTTGCAGTACATGCTGAAACGCAATATGTACAATGCAGTGAAACAATTTACAATTCTTTTACCTTTCTAAATAAATAATGCCTAATTATTTTTGTTTTATCTTTATCTTATCTGGATATACTTTCAGGCTAATGACTTTTATATAACCGACAATAAAAATATAAAATGCTGCAGATAATTATATGTATTTCAGCGTCGCGCCAGTCAAGGTGCGCATTTATGAAATAAAAAAATGAAATAAAAAATAAGATTTATTTTAGTTAGGTTTCCTTTACATTTCTTTTAGTTACATTTTATATTAAAAATTATATATATTATATTTATAATATAATAAAATTTTAATTTACATACATTTTTCAAAATCATATAGTAAAACGTATACATTTTTTATAACATTCATAATAAATAATATTTATTGTATAATATTCTATCTGTACATATATTACTTTTTTAAAAAATTATATTTAAATGCATGTATTGATTAAATCTTGTTAGTTTTTCAAAGTTTTTCCTGAAATAATTCAATTTTTGAATTCATCAATAATACACATTATTATAATTATGATTAAGCCAAGCTTTGTGTGAAATGTTCTATGTACTTCATTCTCAGTATATTAAATATTTGTTGAAACTAGTGTCGGCATCCTGCAAATGGAATAATGTACATCAGCGCACAATAATGTTGTAATTCTCTAATGTACTGCGCATATTACAAGCGTAATGTTGTTAATGCATGATTGAATTAGTTGCGTACATAAATGCGTCATAAACGCGATTGGTTTTATCAAATATTCGATAAGCGAATGATTTACTTGGTATCGATTCGAACGATGTCACTTAAACTTAATACGTGTATTATTGGCATGCAATATCTCTTATATGTGTTATTATCAATGTGGGTTGTGCTTTTATAATTGTAATTTAAAAGGGACAATTATCGAATAACGAAAAGCTTGGTATCCTTTTAAAACGTGTGAGAAAGCGTCTTTGCGTAAAGCTTTACGCAAGGGAAACAAGTACAAGCGTGTGACGGATTTTAGTTAAGAGAGACTTAATTACCGTAGGTGGCAGAACATGCGGCCATGACACGAACAAAAGCTAGGATTATGTACGCCAACGGCAGGATAAAGAGATTATAAATACATCTCTTGCTTATGTATATTCGCGTTTTTAATTACCATGCGTGCGAGATCTTAATTGTAGTTATATCGATTTCTATCAGATTAGTATTATTAATTATTCTACGCCATTGTTACTAGCTAAACAATTTTTTTTAATTTTACAGAATTACTTACATGTTACTTATATATTTTAAAATCTTGCGAAATTAAAAATAATTATCTGGTTAGAAATAATGACAATTATAAAGTGTAACGATCACTTTAATGTCAAGATATGACATTCATTATTGAGAAAATTGTAGCACTTTTAGACATTAAAGCGTATCTATGTAAATGAATAATAAAATTGTGCCACTCTATTAATTTCAATGGACACTTATTGAAATATAAGAAATAATAGCGAGCGGCGAGACGATTTTCTCTCTGTTGAATATTAAACAAACATCAATTTTTAAGAAACACATGATTGAAAGGTACTTTATACTTTAACAAGTACAACAATTTATGTCTAATAACAGTCTATATTATTTACTACTATAATTTAGCCTTTGAAACTTCATTTACGATCGTATTCAGTTGCTCGTGTATAAATTGCGGATATGAAATTGAGCAATTTGTATATGGATCTCCCACACGCACACCCGCGTGGAAGTAAAAGAGTCATTTAAAGCTCGAATTAACAAGCATTATAACAAGCATAAATTACAAATAGGTTTATAGATAAATCGCTTGTGTTTACTGGACTGATTCGGTTGATCTTGTTTCTATCCATTTCCTACCGTTTTTATATACTTACATTCGCTGGTAGCCTGGTACCGAATTTCGTGCAGCTAGATTTTGATTATTCTGACAAGGTACAAGGGGCGCATCGACGTAGAAGCGAACAAAGGATGAAACTCCGAAGGATACCGAGGCAGGTAGAATGAGAAGTAGAATGAGAATCATAATATTGTATTTCCTTCGGCCTCCGTGTCCTCGTTTGTTGTCTGTCTCGTGCATTAGCGTCCTTCGTCGTGCTTAGACCTATTTTAACCCTGCGGAATGTACTGTCGCACTGGCACGAATAGTCGTATGAAAACGTTGCATTCTTATCGGCCAATAATACGATATTGTCACGGTACCGAGAGCAAACGCTCATATATAACGCGCGGCTCCATGACACGCTTTTGCTCGCGTGCTGTCGATGCTCCGAGCTTCATGCAAATTACAATGCGTCACCTTCCGTTGTTACATCTTGATACGATTTTCCGATCGTTTATCATCCACCCGCAATTTTCATCATGCTATCTTCTAATTGGAATTTCTTGTCGCATTTCTTCACATTTTACAACGAAATCTCGTTTTCCTGGAATTCTTTTGCAAATATCATTATTTTATCTCTTGCTCTTTTTCCCTTTAAATTATATACTTTATTTAATTTTCTAATAGTCGGAAGCTCTTATCAAAAACAATCTACGTTTCTCTCCATTACAAAATGTATTTACTTTTTACTGTAAAGTACTGATACCTTTACTGTAAAAATGTATGTACAAATTACGAGTTTAGCGAGTCTAATGGCGAGTACTAAGAAGCTATAATACATATTATACCAAACTACTTTTCTCCGCGGAAACTCGCGGCTTTCCATTTAACGGCGCACCGACTCCTCCTTCTCGAGACTCATTCTCGAGGGTGCGGATAGCGACCAGCTCAACCAGTTTGTATCTCAGAAGCACCGCCGCAAATGGAAACGGAGTCATAATGGTATCGCGGAAACAAAACGAGAGCGTGCATATAATGCGCCGGTTCTACATACACAAATGTGCGCGTGTCGCCACCCGCACTCGAGAAAGTGCATGAATGCCCGCTGTGCTGGTGTGTGGGTGTCAACCTGCAGTTTATTTGCACTCGAGTTGTTGCTTGGCCACCGGAGACAGAAGGGCGCCCACAGCGTGGCCAAGGGTGACCGAAAGCTTATGGTCCCCTAACGCTCTCTCGGAAGAGCCTCTAATTTTAACGGAAGTGGGTCGAGCACGTTGCGCTATGGTCGATCGAAAATGCATGCCTGCGCAGTATATTTAACCTCTCGAAAGCTGAATTTTTACATCAAGATTTATCGCTTACGCGATAATCAATACATTTGTTTTGGAACCTAAAAAGCTGTTTACAATACTAATCACTTTTTCACACTAATTGCCGAAACGTAGGTCTTCTTTTATAAAGAGTATAATTTTATTATATTTTTTACTTTGTTGTATCTATATAATTTTGTTATATATTTGTTATTTTGTTTTTATATTATAAAAAAGTGATATATATAACATTGTTATGTTTAATGATGTCAGTCGAATAAATTAAAATTATATTTCAGATATATTTTAATCATAATAAGAAGAATACATTTGTGTTATAAGCTTTTCGTTGCTTCCATTTATGTTGTGAAGAAAAATATTTTACGCCATATCTCATAAGAGAAATATTTATTACTGAAAGATTATTTGGATTCGTAATAAACGTATGAAATTCGCAGTTTTTTTAATTTGCACATAATCATAAGCTTTGTGTAAATAGCGTGTAATAACGTGAGTGAAAAGTGATTATAATGAGATCTTAATGTATATTCCGTGTTCCATCACATTTTCTGCTACAAGAAGCGCGAGATAAATTTGGGGACCACGATTAAAATGAATTATTCAGTGGCGCTTGAATCGACCGCGTTCGCGCAATGGATTCGTATAATTCCTTGAGATCTGTGTTGAGATGGAGAATTCTATTTTCTTTCCTTCTTATATTATTTACACCAGCACAGTCTTTTCAGCTACAGAGGCGTTAAATTGGAAGTCTTAATAAACAATCTTAATGAACTCAGAATTATATAACAACTGATATCTCGATGAACTATGATTTAAATAAATAACAAAATCTTATTCTTTATAAATTTCAACTCATTATTAATTATCAAAATAGTTAATATTATATTTTTTAATGAGAAATTGAAAAAATGAGCTGAGTTGTCAAAGTATATATATATATATATACACTATATATATATATGAAATATTTTTTGAAAGATTGATAGTATATTAAACATAATTTAGATTTTATATCATGACATAAATGTTATTGCTGTATAATGTTATCATTACTTTGTTTTACGTGCTCGCAATTTTGAATTCGTCGTGTTTGCACAGGACACACTTAGGAACATCAATAGCAGTCATTGACAACGTTGTTAAATATAGTCTGCGGTAGACAAGACGCAAGCTGTAATTAGCAGGCTGTCACGATCGGCATTTGACCTTTAAACAATTTGCCAAACATGCGCATATAAGAGTCGTTATATGTATAACCTTGTCTTTTAAGAATATATAAAATGTCTGCGTGTTTTGAGTGACGAATCATAGTTGAAAATAGCAGCTGCAATATCTGTTCTTACAGCATGTTTAATCAAGGAAATTGCCGCGCAGAGGTTGTACAACAATCGTGATTGAATCTGATTAACACTGCCTTCGCAATTATAGAAATTCTCTTTACCTCCTTTATTCATCGACGTCATTCTTCTTGAGATATCTCGCGCTTGGATTTCATTAGCAGATTTATACAAATCCTAGCGCGCTCCAAGATTGAATTACATTTGCATCTTCAGGCGCTTCTTAACTGTTAATTCGAAAAGCGGCGCTTTCGGTGCGGTTATCTGTATCCGAGAAGGTTATTGCGATTTTTATACTCAATGTAGATTTGCCCTAACTCAAATAAGATTCGCAGACTGGAATTTTAAGTAGAAGTTAACTAAAGATTTGATTTAATTTTCAGCGACAGTCGTGTAAAAGAACATGACATTTTAACTTTAAAATAATAACTTTGGGATATTTTAAAATAATAACATAATAATAATAATTTCGTTAATATGTTCAATTTGAATATCTACGTTTGCATGTCAATTCCATATAAACTCTTAAATGAAAACAGTATACAAATGAAAACTTTTTATTAAAAAAATTAAGAAATATAAATAAATTTAATGATAGGAAAGTATATTGCCAATAAAATTGGAATGATTACAAAAATTTATTTACCGATAATTCACGAAAAGGTCTATCAACATCCGGATTGTAATTTGTTTTACTGACAGTTGTTGTATCTTCTTGCGGAGTATCTACTCATCGTCTCGTCGGCGACTGAGAGATCGTTTCATACGAACGATAGCCACCTATTTATCCGCATGCTATAATTGGAATTTAACCTTTAGCCGACGTCCAAGAGAGGAGGAGAGAAAGATACAGAGAGAGAGAGAGAGAGAGAGAGAGAGAGAGAGAGAGCACACAACTCTACAGTTGACCTATTTAATAAAACTTTTTTCTTTGGTTTATTTTCTTGAATTTCTTGAATTATTGCATATAAGATTCGACCATATTTTTTCTGATAATATGTAATTAAATCTTGGTTTCTTTATCGATTGTGAACGAAGTAAAAATTTTTGTTCAATTTTTTTGTTCAAAATTTATCTTCAAACAATTCAACACAAAAAAACATGATTCGAATAGATTTTATAAAATTTAGGAATAAAAATAGTGATTCTCATTCACAACTGAATCTAATTTAATTAATTAAATTTTCATAAAATAGAGGATTGTTAAAACTTTCCTCATGTTTTATATGTATATTATATCCTTTCATAAGGCAATGCTTCTTAAATGTCTAAAAAATAAGAATAGTTCGTTAAAATATTTAAAAATTAATTGATGCTGAATAGTATTGTTTATTATAACAAATTTTATACATTTATCTACATAGAGGGAACCTCGACATAACTTTGTGGTTTAATATCGTCCAGTGTCGGGGCCAATGAGACGTATCGCTGCCGTCGACGATTTGTTGAAATGTACCATATGAGCGTGAAGATCACGTACGCTGAAGGCTCAACGTAGTACCGTCTCTCTCTCTCTCTCTGTCGCGCGCGCGAGTGGAGTTACTGATCAAAGAACAACTCTTTGGATGTCAGAACTTAGCCCCTTTACGGCGCACTTTACGTTGGCGTTCCAGTTTCTATGGGCGCATCCTTTTCTTCCTCTTTCTCCTCCTGTTCCTCCTCTTCGCTGTTGGCGAAGGCGCCGAATCGGACTAGTACCATAATTCGGTCATTTCCAATTGGCGGAAACCGAAGCTGACACTTTCGCGTGTTTACCAGCAAGTGCCGATAATTTATGGATTCACGGTATATCGCGGCCAACGGGTGGGAATGTTTTCCGGTGTTCTGCATTAACGGCTCATTACGTTTGGACCAATTTTATTAAACGCTTGTTTACGTAGGGCATATCCTTTCTCTCTGTCAAAATTAATTTGCCTAAGGGAAATTTTAGGTAAAATAAAGCTCTAGTTTATAGGACCGAATCGCAATTACAAAAGATTTTTATTTTTTTGAGATATTAATGGAAAATTGTAGATTTTCGTTTATCACAAAATATATCTCTGACGCTCATTTCCTGAAAGTCTTGAAAAACTAAGAGAACACATTTATATGTGCAAATTCATGATCCTCTCTCGAATGTGGGCGGATCGGAGATATGGATCATATTTGGAAGAAAAGTCGTTAGCAGCGGCTGGCAGCTGGCCAGTATCCGTTTCCAAGAATGTAACAGATTTGTCACGACGCCGGAGGTGGAGAAGATAATCGTATGTACATCTATCCGATTCATTCGAAGTAAAAGCAGCCTTCCCCTTCTAGGTCTCCTTGCTTTTCGACTTTGAATGACACAAATTTCAGAAAGCCAAGGCTTATTATCGATAATTCACCTTGCCCGTTAAAAGATCGATCTATGCTTTACGTGCCTATTTCGCGGATAGGAGCCATCTCTTTGAATGTAGTAATTTTCACTCGGCTCTTAAGAGATTTGTTCGAGTATTCCGTTCGTTCATCAATCATTGGGAATACGTGTGCCAGAATATGGTATCAGTAAAGGAACGCGATCCGACTTTTCGCTAACTTCGAAAGGCTTTTAAAATCTTTCAGGAAAAAGAATTGAATAGGATTGGATTTATAAGTACATTATTATAACTTGAATGATATTACTTATATTATAACTTTGAATTATTACTTGTGTGAAAGTTTCCTGCTTTTGCGATATAATTTTTATTTATCACCAAAGATTAATAATTAGATAAATATATGTTGAACTTTTAACATTATAAAATATTAAATTTTTGAAATATTGCAATTTTTGTTAATTTTCACCTTAAGAATCTTTTCTATTCGAAAAATTTTAACGATAAATTCTTTTGCTTTGAAATAGATTTCTCAATACCGAAAACTTTTTTTTTTTTTTTTGAGAAAAACTAAGAAAACATTTTATATTAAAAATATATACAGAATTTCTAGCGACTTAAATATCAAGGATGTAAGTAGATAATAAAACTTCATTCTTCGGCTAATTTCAGGTTGACTTTTCATCACCAGAACTTTAATTCTGGTTGTATGTACTTGGTAAAAAATTCAATTTTTTTAAGTTGAAAAGTTGTAGTATGAGGTAATGTTTTCATTCAACATTTTTGCTACAGAAAATTTATTCTGGAGAGAGAAAGAGAGAGAGAGAATTCGTTAAAAATATATATCTTTACTTTACTACTCATAAAGATAATAAAATTAGGCATTTTTTTCTGGTTAGATATTTTCCCAAAATGGTTACTTATCAACAAGTAAATACTACTTTTTTATACTAGTATCAATTACCTTTTTGCCTAACATATTTGAAATTAAAATTTAATTTGCGATCGTTCATTGGCACTACAAATGGGACAACGCAACAGAAATATATATATATATATATAACGTGCATGGTTTGATTGGAATTATTAATCAGTAGAATCTATACCTTCATCCTCGTTTATGATGGTACAGCGTGTACCACAGTAATAATGGCGATGGTTGCTCATTAGAAAACCGATAGTTTGGTTATGGAACATGATAGGCTATAGGTGACGATGATTTCCATCGATAATAAAGCACATATCACGAGATGATTATTTATAATGTAATATTTAATAAGCTTTAGATGTATATTTTTATAATATTTACTATTAAATACTTCGTCAATTATATTTTAAATTAAATGTTTATTATTGCCTCGGTAGTCTAATGGCTTAGGACTCTCGTACGGAATAAAAGAGATTCGGGTTCGACTCCCGGCCGAGATAATATTGTTCGCAATAAATTTATTTACAGTTTATCAGCATATCAATATCTTGCTAATATGATGCCTGATTGTGTATCAAAATTATTTAAGAATTGCTTGTCAATTTAATTTAATTCGTGATATTATTCCAGTAGTTTAATTGCGTTTATAAGTTCGGAAAACCAATTCGGCGCGCAGTTTGAAGGACTACAAATATGGTATATATGCAAATACATATATAGTATATATATATATATAATTCACATTGAATTATTTAAGCATTAAAGATTTAGTTTAATCGATCGGTATAGGCTGTTTAATTTTTATTATTAATTGTGTTTCTCACATGGTAAGGTCTAAAATAAGATTCTTATTGTTTAAATGTTTATTAATTTTACAGAAAGATTAGTTACAATTATTTGACAAAAAAAATTATCTAACGCAATTTTAATTATAATATTTAATTACCTGAAGAATATTGTCTTTATTAATTTATATATCTTAAATAATTGTTACAAATTTTATTTTATATCGAAGAGATGTTCTAGATAAAAAAAATGCATAATATTTTTTGCAATTATTCAAGATATGTGTATAAATAAAGAAAGATAAAATTTTTCATTAAATACTCTGATTAAATTGTGCTAAAAAATTTTTTTTATTAGATAGTAATCTTTCTACAAAATTAACAAACATTTAATTTAAAGTATGTAATCAATAAAGTGCTTAATAATAAATATTATAGAAACATATATATAATGCTTATTAAATAATTAAAGCAATTGCAACAGCCTCGTGACACATACTTTATTATCAAATGGAAATCATCGTCACATAAACTTATGTAGCTTATGTGTCCTTTTCATTAAATAATTATAATTTATAAGATAATTACAAGAGGAAGAAAAAAAAGAAGTTTTTTTCCTCCAATTTTATTATAGTAATATAATGCTTGTATTGATATGTGCAGATATTATCAAAATGCAATAAAGCATAAATCATCCGGGACATTATTTATAACTTTATCGTGTGTTTAATTCTGTTTTCATAAGATTTCCGGGTTCTTCACAGTGTCGCATTAGGGGACGCGCTAGTTCGCTTATATAAATGAAAGTGTGACTCAACAACGCCAAGCCTTGAGAAAACAATTACAAATAGATCCGCAAAGTAAGCGAACTACAGTTTCCTGTACACATTATATGACAATTTATGGCCGTTACATGTTCGACCACGATCTGGTCGTAAGCTTAAATATCATTTATAAGGTATTGCGTAAGAGTTGCACAAAGTTACGTTTGTTGCATTTTGCTATCAGGTGACATCTAACCGAAGCGGTTTGTGCCAACCAAACAAAACGAATACTTTTTATTTCATTTATATCGAGATAAACTATTATTAAAACTTTTTTCAACATGGACTTATCTCGGCAAGTTGTTGAAACAGACAGAACTTGTCTGTTGGATGTTGTTTCGTTTTTGGATTGTGTTGGTACAAGAGCTTGTATAAATATTTGTAGTACACTCTCGATTGGGAAGTTTTTTAAAGATAAATATTGCGAGCGTTAGAAAGGAAGGTTTATACGAAGTTTTCAAAGATTTAATGCATAAAAGTTTATATTAAATATTAAGTTATATGACTTCATATTATATTTTATCGTTTATTATTATTATTGTTTCTATTTTATTAAATGCATTTCATAAACTAAAAAATTCAATTTTTTTTATTGCAAAAGCTACATAATATATTGGAATATTAATCAGAAAACAATAGTATATTGTATAAAATATTATAAAACTTATTCATTTTATAGCTTAACTACCGAGTATCGAATATTATCAACGTATAAAATATTGTGAAACCATAATATGTATAAAAGATTATAAATTACCAACATACATTATAAAATTTATTAATTTTACTGTTTAATCTAAGTCTTTAATTTTCGTTAATTAAACAAAACATTGATGCTCTGATATAAAATTTTTTTTATTTTTTT